GTCCAAAGAAGTCTCATCAATCGCAACCATAATCAGATGTATAGACGACAGTCTGACTCTCAGCAGATGAAGGATAGAAAATGCTACATATGTCACAAACCAGGGCATCTGGCGAAAGACTGTTATTCAAAACAGAGTGTACATCGTCATGGAATGCAACAGATTCACAAGATCCACAAGGCGGCCGCAATGAAGAATCAACAAAATAATTGTAAGTCAAATCCTGATAATAATATCTGTTCTAGTTCTTTACAGCCGCAATACGCATCTACAAAGAGTGCCATACCAGTGAAAACCTCACCTGAAGGGGAGAAGCCTCTTGTTGGGTCGGCATGCATGCTGACAGACAAGCTGAAGGAATGCTGTGTGAAAATTGGTCAGGTAAAGTTAGCCTGCGGACACATTCTTCCAGTTGTGGGTGGTGTTTGCCAGGTATGTGATGCTATACCTGTACTAATGGGTTATGATGATGAAAGCTATGTGAAAGTACTCAGAGACAGTGGTTGTAGTGGTATCGTGGTTAAACGTGACCTTGTGAAAGATACTGAGCTAACAGGGAAGCTGCAGGAGTGGGTGTTGATAGATGGAACAGTTCGGCAGGTGGAAGAAGCAGTCATTGACATTGATACTCCTTTTTATGTAGGAAAGGTAAATGCATTGTGCATGAAAGAACCATTGTATGATCTCATTATAGGAAATGTACAAGGCGTAAGAAACCACTCAGATCCAGATCCCCTGTGGCGAAGAAGAGAAGATAGAGAAAACAACTTTGAATTACTTCAAGCTGTGCAGACCAGAAGTCAGAAGGTTAAGGAAGAGAAAGGTATGAAGAAATTAAATTATCAGATTTGATAGATCTTGATGTCAATGTAGATAAAATGAAAGAATTACAGACGAAAGTATGTCTTGGATCTGAGGGAAAGACTCTCGAGTACGTGTGAACTGGTGAAAAAGAACTACAGAAATCCAGCGAAAGATACAAGAAAAACTACGAAAGAAAGACACAGAGCAGATCATTCAAGGTTGGTGAATATGTATTGATTCTACTTCCTACCGATAACAATAAACTCTTGATGCAGTGGAAAGGGCCATTTTAAGTTGTAGAGAGAAAAGGCATTTCAGATTATCGTATTGATGTGAATGGGAAAATTAGGTTGTTCCATGCAAACCTCCTGAAGAAATACAATATGAGAGACGATTTTGAGTGTGATGTACCAACAGAACTTGCCTCATGTGTTGTGATCGAGTCTGATGGAAGTGATGAAAACTGAAATGATCAGTTGCTTCACCATCTTCCAATGATAGCGACAGAGTCTTACAGATATGTTAAGGTAAATGAATCGCTCAGTGTTGAACAAAATGAATCTGTGAAAACTTTATTACATGATTTTCAAGATGTATTGACAGATCTTCCAGGAAGAACTGATGTCATTCAACATTAAGTCCATTTGACAACAGATGAACCAATTCGTAATAGACAGTACCAAATACCATACGCATTAAGAGACAATGTGCGTAAGGAGATCCAGAGCATGATCGATATGGACGTGATAGAGCCTTCAGAATCACCATACGCTAGTTCTATTTTGGTAGCTAAGAAGTCAGAGGGGAGCAACAGGATTTGTATTGATTACCGAAAATTGAACAAGGTAACAATCTTTGATGCTGAGCCTATGCCAGATCCAGATGAATTAATGACTAAGGTAGGCCAAAATAGATATTTTTCAAAAATTGATCTCTGTAAAGGTTACTGGCAAATTCCCATGAGACTACAAGATCTGGATTTAACATCCTTTTTGACACCGGATTGTCTTTCCAGATTCAAGGTCATGCCGTTTGGTATGTCAAACAGTCCTGCAACGTTCAACAGATTAATGCGTAAGATATTAAAGGGTTTACAACATACAGTTTGTTTTTTGGATGATATATTAACTCATACAGAGTCTTTTGAAAATCATATCCTGGAACTAAGAAGAGTATTCGAGAGGCTGAGACATGCACGCCTAGCAGCCAAACCATCCAAATGTGAGACTGGTCAAACCCAATTGGTGTACTTGGGACATATCATTGGTGAAGGCATCATAAAACCAACGAACGAGAAGTTAAAGGCAATCCAGGACGCTCCAAGTCCAACAACCAAAAAGGAGGTGAGATCTTTCCTTGGGTTACTTGGGTACTTCCGAAAGTTTGTTCCGAATTTCGCAACAGTAGCAGTTCCTTTAAGTGACTTGACAAGAAAAGGTGTTCCTTATAAGTTTGAGTGGAAACCACAATGTTAAAATGCATTCAAGACTTTGAAATCAATGTTACGTTTTAGTCCTATTCTCAGACTTCCAGACCTAACAAAAACATTTATCCTGAGAACAGATGCATCCATTCAAAGTGTTGGTGCTGTTCTGATGCAAGATCACGACGGAAAGAAGTATCCAGTCGCTTATGCCAGTCGGAAACTGCTCGATAGAGAACAGAGGTATTCAGGTATAGAAAAAGAATGTCTTGCTATATAATTTGGGCTCTACAAAAATTTCAAGCTTATTTATATGGCAGATCATTTATTATAGAAACTGATCATCAACCTTTAGTTCATCTTCAGAAGGCGAAAGTAGCGAATTCTCGACTGATGAGGTGGTCGCTTTTTCTGCAGTCTTACAACTTCACGACAGAGGTAATCAAAGGAACAGAAAACATTGGTGCAGATTTCCTGAGTCGCCATGTTGCAGTGTAGAGTGCGCCGTAAAGTTTGCATGTAAATAAAGAAAAGACTTTATTACGTTTTAACAAAATATATTTTGTTCTTAGGAAGGGAGGAAATGTCACAATATTGTAAATATTGCTCCAAATGCTCTTCCATACATTGTGGAGTGTTTAACTTTGCACGCATCGATGGTCACTGAATTGTAGCATAAATAGCTGCGGCATCGCTTGTAAACCCGTTTGTCAAGTTTGATGATATTAATAGTTACACTTATCCAGGGGTTTTGGCCAGGTTTGTCAGATTACTTCTGGACACCAAACTTTGTGGACGGTGTAAAAATATGACCCATACTTAGTGGATTGGGCGGCTCCCATGCTGTGTGGAAATGGGATGCATTACTGGTACCTGTGTGGACCATTTGAAACCTGGGCCTTTTGTTTTTGCATTTATGAGTGTGAGTGACTACAATCCAGTGACCTTTTAGTAGATGTAAATAGTTCACCCTGGTGTTAATACTACAAGTACGTTATGAGAGAACTTCCTGAATCCGATGACGTCTACTTCAAGTGATGATTGGAACTTCCGGCCGACATGTTAATTGAATATGGTTCTTCGTTTGGGAGACGTGTTAGTGATTAGTCTGTGACATTATGGCCTTGCACTAGCTTCTTGTGTGTTTCATCCACTGTGCGCCATTCATCTGATGTCTCCTAAGCCTCGATACCACCGGAGCCCGAGTTCCATTTTGATTTTTTTGTACATTTGTAAATAAATTGTTATTGTTATAAAGTATTGTTTGTCTTGATTGGCAAAGGTCATCCATTTACTAGATTGGTAAAGGTTAATTTTTTTTAAAAAGAACCCAACACAATTGACAGCAATTGTGACAATAAAACACTCAAGCATCTTTTTAATATTAACATCAGAGTATTTGTATGTAAATTCAGAATGTTTTTTAACAAAATAATTTTGCAAATGACCAGTGACAAGGTAAGTAATTTTACGAGTTACTTTTTTTATTGAAAAGGCAGCTGTCTATGATGTCAAAAAGCCTGCGGGCCTTTTCACAAAACATCTTACGACTACGAAAAAAAATTTGACAATCTCTATTTTTTGTTCAATGAATGTAATTATTATTATTTTTTTTTTTTTTTAGATATTTTTGTACAATGTAATCTAATGTAATAGAAATATAAGATTTTTTGTGTCCTACTAAAGCTTAGATACTTGTTGAGGAATTGAAAAATTTAATTCGTTATAACAATTTCTTTGAATTCGTTATAATGAATTCAATCTGTTATTACAAAATTGTTGAATTCGTTATAACGAATTAAAAAATTGTTATTACGAATTAAATTCGTTTAAACGAATTCTAAAATTTGTTATAACAAATTAAATTTGTTTAAACAAATTGTACTAACGTATTAATTTCGTTTAATCAAATTCAACAATCAGGGCCTATAGAAATATATATATATATATGAATTCGATTTTACGATTTGTCGAATAATTCTATCTCTCTGAGGTTACTGTTAGTTGGCAGCCAACATTGGTAACTCGCATACACAGAACGTCAATGAAACGATATATTGACAAAGTAATCATTCTTGGAGTTTTTAATTCGTGGCAAGAGTGAGTAACAAATCAACGGTGATTTCACAGTTTACTGGAATTGATTTGTATTCTATTTGAAATTGAAATCATTTTAACACAGCCGATCATCAGATTTTTCAAAAATGTCTTTTTCAAATCTTACACACAGTGTTTTTCAGTTTTATTCAATGCATATATCTCATTTCTTGAGTATAAAGTAGGTATATCTAGTCCTTCCGTAGGGTTAACACATGAACGTAATTTATAACCAAGTGTTTCTTGATATAGTTAAATTTCCCCCTTTGATAAGAAAAATACTCGACAAATCGATAACCGGATCTCATTTTGAAGCAAGAGATGCATGCTTTTATATTACATAGAATTTTTACATATATTATTGAAGGCAATATGAAAAACAAAATAAAATTCATATGATTTTTATTATTTTATGCTCTTTGTATATTTTTGTATTTCTAGCACTTTGACAATTGATTCTAAATTTATTTATACTGAGTTCCACAATGATTTGATTTGATTCAGAAACAAGTCCTAGTTATTAACTATTTCAATCAGGAAGATCTGTAGTTTAAAATCCTCCTCACTTCACAAGGAAGAAATAAAATTGTTATTTATGAATGACTCACATTCTTGTATGAAAAAAATACGCTTTCTGCAATGTTTAATTTCTCATAATCTTGCTTTTGATAATTCCACCCATTTGATAAATAAAAGGATGTATCATGCCGTAGGAATCATTATATTCCTTTTCATCCTAGATGTTCAAGGTAATTTTTTCTCTTTATTAAATACTTTAGGGAATTATTGTACATCTTTTACAATGACAAAGGTATTCTCTTAAAAGACTATTTACAGTAATGCTTACATACTTCAATTTGTTCACATCATATCAAACAAATGGTATAACACTGTGAAAGCAAATCTGTATTTTGTATTCATATGAAAGCAGAATACATTCAAAAACTTCAACGTGAAAAAGAAGCTCTCTTGCTGTGGCCTTGAATTGGACATTTATATATGTCATATCTTGAGATGATGTCGAAAATGTAAAAAGTTTACAGACGACAGACGGACGCCGGACATTCTTTGATCAGAAAAGCTCACTTGAGTCTTCGGCTCAGATGAGCTAAAAAGGATATATATATATATATATATATATATATATATATATATATATATATATATATATATATATATATATATATATATATATATATATATATAAGGTTCGTTAAGGAACACTTAATGCAAGAATTAAAACACCACATGTTCTATTATCACTACATAATCCAATTTTATTAAGTTTTCTTTATCACATATTTCAATTGTATTATCATTTATATCAATGATCTCATGGCACATCTTTGATCAAAACCACCAAAGCACCAAGCAGTGTCTTGTTTTGTAGTGTCAACAATCTGCAGATGATTCATATAAAAATGTTATATTTCTTTATAAGGTTCTTTACGGAACACTCAGTGCAAAAGAACACAGGATTGGAACGGTTTTCAATTCCAATGCTCCAAAAATCATACAATTTATATCAAACATCATATTATTGAGGATGGATTTCAAAAGTTATCAAACTCTGACATGTTCTTTGGATGTCAAGAGACAGATGCCCTTTATTGTGGCGCTAAACTTCCTATCAACCAAAAACTAGGCCAAAACAACTCCGCTTTTTCGGCAGCTGTCAGTGATTGCAATGGTAAAATTCAGTGCAATGTGAGTGCTCAATACTTTAAAGACACTGAGGCAGATCTTCGCAAATTATGCAGCCAATCAAACCCATCAGAATTAAAGAAAGCCTCGTTTCGACAAAGCATTGATTATGAATGTATTCAAGGTAATGGTAAAGATGAGAACACAATTTCTACATTTCTAGACAGTCTTCTACTTTTCTGTTAATTAATATACAACTCTATTTTATAGATTACCAAGTTATCGATATGTGCACCAACAGAAATGACAGCAGAAGTCCCCATGTTTATCTACAGTTATCTGGCGACTGGGGTAGCTGTTCGTGTGACATCATTGGTGACATATCACGTGTCAATATTTTACAGACAGACATGGCTGAAGTGCTCATCTATAATGAAAGTAGACGTTTGTTTCGTAAGAAATACGCCATGAATATTTGTATATTCGTTAAGAGTTTGATATTTTCTTTATCTATAGAAGTCGTCCTTAATGTAAGAAAATAAGAGTCTTATTGTTTACGTTTAATTTATCAACTAAGTCACGACGAGAGTGTGTTTCAATAAGTTTTATGTCACATTTAATACCGGTATGCAATTAATATTTATTAACATTTATCAATTTAAGTTTACCATATACATAAATTAACATTTTTCTTTAATTTTTGTTTCAATGCTTCAGAGCACCAACACTCTAGTGTTAGTCTCTATGGAGTAGAAGTTCAAGTGATTACTAAGAAGTTGCTCATTCATATACAGGGAAGATCTGCAGCAAGTCGTATACTGATTAAAGTATTAGGTAAAAATTTTATTTTTCCATCTAAGAATTAATGAAATGACTGATATTGTATTGTTTTAACTCTTTGCTTTTTAGGAAACATGACAATTCACTGCGAGGAGTTAAAGTCGATGAGCACTCTTCAGGATCAGGATCCTACTTCTACGCCATTAACCAGTGTAGAAACACATCAGAAAGGAGAACAAATGCTGAGACATAGCTCAATAGGACCAAATGTAACAGATGTGGACAGACCATCTTTGCCTTCCACAATGGAAACACATACAAGTCGTAAGTTGATAAAACTGTTTTCCGATACAAATGATAAATTGTAAATGAAATATGTTCAAAATAAACAACATATTATAATGAGTACACATACATTTGACATTTGTCAAATTTTGTTAAATTGTTCTTTATGTGGGAATTTACGTAGTTTAGTCCACAAAATGGTTGATTATTGGCATTTTTATCCGTATAAAACATTCGATCCTTGATTTTTTTTTTATTTGTCACTTTTTTGTACAGAAATTCTTCTAACAGGAACAGACACTGTCAAATCATCGATGGCTTCACAGAAGGCAACACAAACATCTACAGATAACGGCAACCACCCAAATTTACTAAACAGTTCAGTTTATCAGTATTTAACTAACCTGTAATGTTTCTTTCGACTTGTCATTTTTTTAGGTGGAGATTTTTCTATCTCTAATTTGACGGCAGATTTTGAAATCAAAAAGGAAACGATGAAAGGTTATTTTTTCACATGGTAAAAGAAATGCTTTTTCAAAGTTGGAAATTATAAATTATGACAAGTTCATTACATTACGAAGAGAAAGTTTCATCTGTAATTTCAAATGCAGGACATAATCATGAGAAATTTTATAGAACCAAAACTTATTACCCGTACAAACTGATTATGTATACAGGACTGATTACAGGGACACACTGATTACATGTATAAAACTTTTATTTTGTTCTTACATTGACACCATGTTTGATATTTTATTATAAATTATATACACAAATAATGGTAAGAAATGCTAAAAATGAAGTCAAATAAATAATCCATAAATATCTAGTTTATATAAAAGTTGATGTATATGGAGCTTACCAGAACCCTTTATTGTAAACTAAATGACAGACTTTCTGATATCTATTTCAGATAAGGCCCTTTTTACCAGCCTTTTCCTTTTTTTAACTGCCGTCATCTTACTGGTCATTTTTTTCCTTCTTCTTTCCGTAATTCAGAGAAGGTAAAAAAAATATGTACATAGGGATGTTCAACTTCAACCATAGAAGTCAGTAGAAGTTTTATCCATAAAATAACGTGAACACCAACCAGTGAGCTTCGAAAGCGTAGCGACAGGAATGCAACGCGTTTTTGGTGAATTCCGCTCTGGCGCTTTATTTAATAAAACTAACAACAACACGCTGTATAATTTATGTCGGTCGATATTTCTAACCTGATTTCTGGTCCGATTACCCTCTCAATTGCCGTACTCAACCCTTAAATCTAATGTTAACGACATCTCAAAAAGAATCTGTCGCCGTAAGGGTCTGCGTGACGTCACACCATTCGCTCCTGATGCATTTCGAGTTGATTTTTTAAAGAAAGTTATTTTAACAAGAATAGATATGGGTTACCCCATATCCAAGATATTCGACTTTTAATTTATTCGAATTTTCATTGTGCTCAGATGATTTCTAATAAAAAAAACAAGTATTTACTGACAAAACGTCAGAGATACTCAAGCTGTAGAAAGTCATAATAAAAGTGCCATAAATATCCTAAAACGACAAAATATTTAGGCTACTGAGTTTCAACATCTTTTGTTGAATAAAATATGCATGTACTAGGAAACAAACTGCATGTTCATATATAACGTTAGATGTAGATGCATGTAGTGACTATCACAAAGTCGCTAAAAATAGTTTTAATTTCACATAGAACATAGACTAAATATAATTAATCGTATAATTTTAAAAATGTATTTAACACCTCGTTCATTTTCAGGAATATTTAAACCAAATAGCATGTTACAGGCCTGTAGCAACGTTTTCAAAGTGAAGGGGGGGGGGGGCTCCGAAAAAAATCCCGCGTACTATATGGGCCTGTGCTACATGTGTACCATCTAACTTTCCAATGATATAATCTTCTGTAAAAAAAAATTCAAATCAAGTTCAAGCCGTTATGGATTATGAAAGATAGCCCATTTTTTTTAAATAGCAAAACTATAGATCTATCAAGGATAGATTTTAATTTATTTTTTTTAATTTTGTGCTATTAAATTACTATCACCCATAGGCAGATGTTAAAGATAGTCAACATGTCACCTTTTAGAACGAATGAACTTGTAATCAATGAACTTGTCCAGAGATGCATTGACGGCCGTTGTTAAACGCAAAGGAAAGCGCGAGATCGGTTGCGGCTATGGAGCATCACTGAATATTCCTTCGTCATAGGATAGAATCCGACATTTAACACTTAATATAGATTTTGAATATACAGATGTTTTGAAGATAAACTTAGTATATTTTCGTGTTTTTAAACTGAGTAGATCGATGACCTAGTCTCGTTTTAGATAACTCAGCCCCTCTAGCCCAATTTAGGGCTTGAGTAAAAAACCTGCACTTCTTATGAAACTGGTGTATAGTTCTAAACTTCTTCATTTCCGTAGCAAATACTGATACCCAGTCTACGTGATCTAAGCGTCTCTAGCAAACGGTGCACACACCTGTGCTTGCAAGACCAAATAGCCTAGGTCTACACACGTGCGAAGATCCTTTCAGACGAGCTCGGAACATTACGTTGCTTTGCCGAGAGGTTACGATTGCAGGTGTTTAACCATAATAACCATTCCGTTATTCATTAAAAGAGAGAAAAAAAACACACAGTTAATGATTAACATATCCATTCAAAAGAAATTATAAGGCAATGAACGAACAATAATAATGACAGTAATATAACTGGTGAAAAGATTTATCATTATCAATCGAAGTATGACCTATATATTTTCGGGAAAAAGACTGAGGAGGCAGCGAGCGTAGGAATATGAAAACTTTTTATTTGCTTTTCCGGGGAAAAGATGATTTTCTTAAAATCTTTTTACGTTAATTTTGTTTTCTTTAACGTATTAAATATACATCATTATTCTTAACATTTGTTGTAATCTTGTATCTACTGATCATGAATGGAACTATTTTCGTCGGAGCAATTGTGTGAGGAGTACCTGACTTTAGTAATATATCTTGAATAGATAATATGCACTGATCGAATATATTAAAAATGTATTTAACGTATAATCTTTGAAATTTTACGTCTTTTATTTTTAAATAATAGATAAGTGATAATTGATGTCGTTAACGTTAGATTTAAGCGTCTAGTTCATCAATTGAGAGGCAAGTCGGACTAGAAATCAGGTTAGAAACATCGACTGACATAAATTATACCGCGTGTTGTTGTTAGTTTTATTAAATAAAGCGCCAGAGCAGAATTCACCAAAAACACGTTGCATTCCTGTCGCTACGCTCGCGAAGCTCACTGGTTGTTGTTTATATGTACGTTGCTATATGGATAAAACTGCCGACTCCTGTGCTTCAACTCAAATAGCTGAGGGGGGGGGGGGGGAGATGAAAGCGCAAGTAAGCTTTTCTGATTACGTTTTGTCTGTAGTCCATTTGTCCGTCCATATGTAAACTTTTCACATTTTCGACTTCTTCCTAAGAACCACAGGGCCAATTTCAACCAAATTTGCCACAAAGCATCTTTGAGTGAAGGAATTCAGGTTTGTTCAAATGAAGCGCCACGCCCTCTTTCAAGGGGGATAATAAAGAATTGGAGAAAATCTAGGGGTATCTTAAAAATCTTCTTCTCAAGCACCTCTGGGCTAGAAAATATGAAACTAATGTGGAATCATCCACAGATAGTGTAAATTCAGGTTTGTTCAAATCATGACTCCAGGAGGTAGGGTGGGGCCACAATGGGCCATCAAATTTTTACTGAGGAATACAAAGGAAAAAAATCTTTAAAAATCTTCTTCTCAATAACAAAGCCATGATTGGTCATATTTATATGGAAGCATCCTGAGGTAGTGTAAATTATTAAAGTTTGTACAAATCATGGGGTGGGGCCAAAATGGGCGTTCAAAGTTATATAGGAATACAGTGTACATAGAAAAAATCTTTAAAAATCTTCTTCTCGAAAACAACAAAGTCATGATTGGTCATATTTATATGGAAACATCGTCATATAGTGTAGATTCAAATTTGTTCAAATCATGACCCCCGGAATTAGGGTGCGGCCACAATGGGCCATCAAAGTTTTGCATAGGAATACATAAGAACAATCTTTTAAAAAAATCTTATTCTCAAGAAAAGCAAAGCCATAATTAGTCATATTAATAAAGAAGCATCCTCAGGTTAAGTAAATTCAAATTTGTTCAAGTCCTGGCCCCCAAAGAGTAGATTCAAGCTCGTTCAAAACATGACCCTGGGGGTAGGGCAAGGCCACAATAGAAGATCAAACGTAAAGGAAAAAATCTTGAAAAATCAACTATATGCCATGCAGAGTCAAAGAAATATGGAAGCATCCTCAGGTAGTGTAGATCCAAGATTGTTCAAATCACCCCCCCCCCTCCCCATTTTCAATACTGAACTGATTTCTGCTTTTTCCTGGCCAAAGTTCCCAGGTGAGCGATGTGGCCCAATGGTCTTTTTTTTTTAATTTGTGGGGGGGGGGGGGCATATTGTAATGCCATGCTAATGCATTGTCCTTTCATTCATGAAATGTTTGTGCATTCAGTTACTCACTAGCTAAAACAGAGTAATTCTATTATTGCTCGGTTCAAATATTTTGCTAATAATCTAAAATGGTATACACGTATTTATTATAGAAAGGATAGAGATCTGCTGTTGGCAATTCTTCACAAACTAGAAGAGAGTAATGAAAGTATACGTGAAGAGCAGCACTCCAAAGCGACGGAAACAAGCCACATTCAAATTACCGAAAGTGAAAGAAACTATCAGGAAATTCCATTGCAGTTCTTGAATCGTCCAAAGTCCAATCGTCTCAGTAACCCTGTATACGACACAGGCAGTCCGATTCAGGAAAATGTTTGTTCTAAAGAGAAACACGTCGAGTTTTCTATGGCTGACTCTATGGATGTGCGGAGTGACCGATTCCTCTTGGGGAGTGATAATGGGATCTATGAATTGCAAAAAAGCTTCTGAAAAAAATTAATCTTGTTTCACCACATCAATTTAATCATTATCATGGAATGTTCAATGTACACATCAAGCATACGCACTTGTCTAGTTAAGAAAAGGATTGATTGCTGCAAGCAAGCATACGAATTTCTATTGTAGATAGGCTTGTTTTACTTCTTTTTTCTGCATCTTCTTCAAAAATGCACCAAAATAAAATAAGAGACTTTACCAATTAATAAAAAGTACCTTTGACATCATCCGACAATGTTACTTTCATTAAGATTTATAATGTGACATGACTTTACTTTAGAAAAACTGTTATAAATTGTCTTTTGTTTTCTAGCATTTTGGAGGAAGCTTGAACGAAATACATATTATTATTACACATTATTATTAATTTTGGTTCTAACATTTGATCTTCTCACAATTCTTAAATAAAATCAGCTTTAAAATAAACTTTTCTGGCTGGTAGGTCTTTCAGCTATAAATGCTAAAGGTTGTTGTCGTAACCAAAACCAACTTATAGATACACCTTAAATTACCTTTGTATTTTAAGCATTTTAAGCTGTAGATTACGTCATAGATGTCCTAAAATTGAAAAGTAATACAAGGAAACTGTTATGTTCCAAGAACTCTTTATTTCCTAAAACTCCGCAAATTACGTATCAATGTAATCACAATCTCAAGTGTCTAATATTGCTATGATTATGATCATATCATTCTTTTCAAATTAAGGTTCACGGCCATCTATAAAACTACAACTATACTTCATGTATGCTTGTTTCCTGAATTAATTAATAAATCGAAATAGATTGGATATCATGTGATATTGTATCTTTAAATAAGTTGTTTTTATTCATTATTTTTCCGTGTGTCAAATGAATTCATAAAGGACTATGTCAGAGCGTGACTATCGAATACACTTGAAACTCACACTTTGCCCAAGACCTTTGGAAGAACCGTGCTTGTTCCGGGAAGTGTAGAATAGGATCGGTGGCATCTGCAAAATAAAGCACTTGTGTGTGATTTTATTTTCCCGGAAAAGTCGCTCGTGTTATGAAAAGTTAATTTCTAAATGGTTTTGGAACTGCATGTAAGTACTCTGAATTAATATCAAATGTAATATTACCATCTTAAACATTTCCAAAAATTAAATTGCAGACCCAATGTAAAATGAATTGTACATTTCAAAGTCTACGTAGCTTTTCACCATCTTATATATCTTTTCATAATACTTTATTTTTTTTACAAGATTACTTTTAGCTCTATCATTGTAATGTGATTAGGTTAACCATACTCTTCTTTTTGCTTAAATGTTTCCTTTAGTATTAAACATTTACTGTATTACTAAATGCTTTACCTTTTTAGTCTACTCACCGGTAGTGCATTTGTAGGGATTCAGAAAGATGGTTGATTCTATTTTGCTTGGTGAACGCACATAGCTTTTAGAAAACAGATGGATAATTGTCAAATAAATGCTATGATATACGGAAAAAATGTACATAATTATGTAGAAAAGGAGTTACTTTACAGAAAATGTAAATATTTCAACAAATTAAGATTGATTCGGATATATATAGTCCAATGGTTTCCAAACAATCCCTTCCTCTTGTCGTCCCCCAATTAGAATCCAGTAGATATATAATTTGAATTCTAGTAAGTAGTTTTAAAGAGATCTCTTGAATATCATTCAGATAATCATAGGCTGAAAAGCAAACAAGAAAAATCACGTAATCTGATTTTTAAAAAGCAGTTTAGTCAGCATGTTGTGCATCAATTTGGTCATACTGAATACCAGTAAAACCACATTTAATCTACATTTTACAATGTTAAAACATTTATTTTGGACAACAATACATTGGTTTTCTAATCTGACCCTGCCTAATTACCAACTACAGATTTGCTGTAAAGTTTTCTTCTGAACCTTCAACTTTAACAAAACAATAGATTTGTTATCTTTCATTTTAATTCACTTTATTTTAATAAGTACACCAGGATTGATCTATTTACACATCATCACCAAATTCGTGCTTTTCTGTTTATTTTTCCATTTCAGACTTTGATAAGTTTTTTTAATCTGGACGAGCAATAGAAATGTCATGTATGAATGATACGGATATAGGTGAGTTAAAATGGTGGGTTTTTTTGTTTATTTGACTTAAATTTTTGACGAAAGAAGTAAACCTGGAATGTTTTACAATGAGGTTCATTGATAAAAATCTTTGGTAGTTGCGATATATATAGCAGAAAAAATGATTTGAGCTTAAAAAAACAAACAAACAAACAAACAAAACAAAAAAAAACAAAACAAAAAACAATCTCAATCTTAGAAACAGTCTTGTAAAAAGTTGACATTTGTACCCCATAAAAGAAAAAAATGAATTCATTTTTAGAGACATCGATTTCCTGTAGTCTAGCATTAGATACCACTGTTTATTAGCATGGTATGAAATAAGATGTGATATGTGATGCCTAGCAATGATAGGACAAGTTTTTTACACTATATGTATTATATGACAATTGAAGTAAAAAGAAGAACTAAAATACTAAGCATAAAAAAGATGCAATTTTCACCAAATGCTTGGATACCTATATTTTTCTATCCTAAATCATATTTATTTTTGTTGATCAATTTTCAATTAGAAAATGAATAGCTGGTGTTTTTATTCGCATTTCTTTCCTGAAAATTTATTTGAGATTTGATAATTCTCTATATAATATGATTAACTATAATGATGAACTTGGAAGAAATTCCATGGGTAAATTCACGTTACTATATGTGAAATCAAAGACATTTTGTAAGCATTTTCAACTACTTAAAAGCTGATATTCAGAATCTGAGGATCGGACTACCTTAAATTTGTTTGTTTATACTAACTTTAAAACCTGTGTACAGGCTATCTTTGGTTGATTCTGACTAAAGATTTTATAAAATATTCATGTATTCCTTTGACAGGAAAAGATGTGACGGCATTGGTGGTGTTAACCGGAATCCAGATGTTTTTCTGTGTGACAATAATAGCTTCCATTGCAGCGCTAGCTTTGTATATACGGTAAATAATAGTCTGACCAGTGATTTCATAAAGAGGTTCTTTAACAAATTTAAAGCAATTAATGGTGTGCAATTCAAGAATGTACCAAAAAGGCTTTTAAAATTAAGGTACTGGTAACTGTAAAGTAATATTCCCTGCTTTAAAGTACCCATATTGTGTTATCGTTATGATGACATTCTTTGAGGTGGCCTTCACCTCGACATTTAGATATATCGACGACGTATTATCAATTAACAATAGTTACTTCCATTCATATGTCGACTCGATATACAGTTGTATCTCAGTGAGCTTGAAATAGAAAATACCACAGAGTCTGATACATCTGTTTCATAATTAGATATTTTGCTAGAAAAAGACGTTAATGGTAACCAAACAACAAAGCTTTATGATAAACGTGATGACTTCAACTTTCTTCCCTTACGTATGTAGCTATATACCCTTATCACCTGCATATGGGGTTTATGTCTCACAGTTGATTTGATACGCAAGAGCACGCTCTACGTATGAACAATTTCTAAAATGAGGCAAGCTATTGACAAACAAGTTGATGAAATAAGGATATCAACATTCTCGTTTGGAGTAATCATTTCGCAAGTTTTATGGTCGATACAATGACCTTGTCAGCACATACAACCTATCATTGAGTCAAATGCTGACTGACGTTTTTCATCCTAATTGTTAGGCCATTATTTATATACTAAACTGTATACGGATTTTTCCGGGAGATTTTAAAGGAGGTTATACTATTTGGGCTATTTTCCTGTGAAAAATAGATGGTATAGTATTAACCAGGCTGTCACAAACAGGTTTCCATATTTTTTGAAAGTTTTTGTTATTATTTATTTATTTATTTATTTATTTATTTATTTATTTATTTATTTATTTATTTGTTTATTGTGAATTTCTACCCTATAGGGTAGGGATGCCCCTAAAAAAATCCTATTCCTTAGTTCACGAGCTATCAAAATATCATAGATTTATTAGGGACAGACCTGACCTGAAGGCCAAAATTCGTGCAAAAATCGGTGCTTTAACGGAGAAAATGCTGTTTTAGCCAACTTTGGAGGTTTAAAGTTGCGAATAATAAAATTTAGGTTCAACATGCAAAATCAAAAAATTCAGACATATATACGGTAGAAAATAATTAATAAACATTGATGTTAAAATGTGACTGTTTTCGGAAAATTGTTCTTTCCTATAGGTCGATTCTTTTGAAATTCTGAATACATCCTTGGTCAAAAAATTCGTAAATGTAATGATTTCTATAAATAAACAATTCTCAAATATATTAAATTATTTTTCATTACTTCATCAATGTTGACCATTGTATTGATTTAGAATGAAAGATTATTGTTTGACACTAAGTACAGCATTAACTGTACTTCATAATAGGGCTATATGTTTATCGTGTTATACGTATTTTTATTATCTATCTCAACAAGTAACACTGTAAAGATTACGAAAGGATGTTAAAAATGTTTACAGTTTAAAAGAGACAATAATTACGCCATGTTAAGTCTTTTATACAACACATACTAAAAAAAAATTATAAGCATGTGGGTTGTTTGTCATTGAATATCAAGTTAGGTATAGAAATTGTTTTTAAAAGAAACTTTAGTTTACCCATAAACATTCTGTCATAAAATTTATGAAGCCAACACGTTTGGTTTTGTAACACCATGATACAAGAGGTTAGATAAAGGAGAAACTTACACTTCCCTGTGTTTATCATATACATGTATTTTGTAACAATATACAATATAAATAGCTTTATCAAATTTACTCTTTAGTATAAAACGGGTTGAGCATTTTAAAGGAATATATCAAAAACATCGTAGTACATGTACACCTGTTTTATTCAACTTATTTTTAAATATATTTATTAAAAAAAAAACAATGCATTGCGGCCTATCTCAAAATTTGAGATGGTTTATAGATATGGACACATATTTTATAATCGTCTACTCTATAGTCAACAGATACTGTTGCTGCAGAGTTTGATGAGAGCAATTTTACTTCCCATGACGAATGAAGAGTTCACTGAAAAAGACAATTGCCAAAAAAGTGATGAAAATGACACTATAAAAGACACTGATCCGATCAATCACGTGACTGCAGCGGAAGCGAGCTCACTTCCTATTACAAATCCAGTCAAGCTAATCGGTGATATCGTCCAGCCGGACGGAACAAGGAAAGAGTGCAAATCAGACAGCGAGTTGTCAATCAAAAACAGGTTGATTCTATTGTCAAAACTACAAGCGGATTTAAAAGACAAAGTGGTGTACGAAAGATGTCGTCTTCCTTTTGAAAATATTAATGACCTTGGAAATGTCAGTCAGATGCTGGAGGAAATATGAAGCAAGAAAGAATATTTTCATACATTATTACTCCATACATAATTGTCGCATATTATATTTAGAATAAATAGAGTAAATACTGTCGAAGTTTCTGTATTCAAATTTTATAACCCCCTCCCACCGGCAAACGAAGTCTGTCCATTCAGTCTTTTCCGGCCGGGCGATAACTTTGTAATGGAGAATTATTGGAATCTTATACTATGTACAAAGATTGTTTATGACCTGTGTTTGTCATGACCTCACACAAGGCCATTCTGGCAACGTCACTGGCAGATAAAGTATAAAATTCTTGTTCAGCCTACAACTTTATGGAGAAACATTGCCAACTCATACTTCAAACAAAGATTGATTATGACCTGAAAATATGCCATGACCTTGAATCACGGTCAAATTAACAAGTTCAAGGTCACTCATGGGAAAAAATATTTAATTCCTGCCCTGACCGTATCTTGTAATGAAGAACATTAGAGGCTCATAAATATTGCATATGATCTAAGGGTACGTATTGATCATAACCCAAGGTCATTTAAGCAATTTCAAGGTCACCGTGAAAAAAGTGTTTCATTTGTGTCCTACCTATTTCTCTCACACGGAGGCTTATTGGAAGTTAATTTTTGACACAAGATTGTTTATGACTTAAGGGTCATTAAATAATGCGAGGTTATTTTGGCAAGTCTAAGGTCACTGGCAGAAAAAGTGTTAAATTCATGTAACTTGTATTCGTATAACTTTGAAATGAATAAACATTGAAACGTCATACTTCACAAAAGTATTACTTTTGTTTAGATGGGTCATGACCTTAAAACCACGGTCATTCCGGCAAGTACAAGGTCACTGTTAGAAAAAGTTTGGGGGGGTTTTAATGTTATAATTTCAAACAAAAATTATTCTTGAGCTAAAAGTGTGTCATAACCTTAACGCAAGTTAAGATCATTGTTGCAAGTTTAAAGATTAAATTGTGGAATATACAAGTAAGTTTTCAGTAAAGTCAATATTGCATGGAACTTAATCGTCGTAATTTATTCCAGATTGAGGATTCCCATCTACATGTACAGTGTATACCCTTTGATTGTTTGATTGTATGCTGTTTTACGTCCCATTCGAGGATTTTTCTTTTGTGGGAAACCAAATCATTTCCTGGAGAAACAAGGAAAAATGTCCAAAAACCATATGCCATAAAATTGAGGATATACTAGTACCTTTATCAGGAAAAAAAACTTTTTTTTCTGAATTTAGTATTGTGTTACATCTGCAATGTTTCCTAATTAAGAACACAGAAATAGAATTCCTATTGTTTGATACAATTTTATTTTGGAGACTTTGAAAGATTTAAGTACAGTTCTGTGTAAAAATCATGCAAAGGGTGATATATGAAGGTTCTCAGAATTCGATGATTTTCCACACATAAGTTTTCTTTTGCCTTATGAACCATGTATGCAAAAGGAAAAATGTTTTGATTCACGGTTACCATGGAAACATGGGTAAAGAATTTTCCCTAGCAACCATCCGATTTTCAGCTTTGATGGACTAAAAAATCTCTTATCTTTCAGGCTCAAATTAAATGTAAATACTAAAAGAATTTCTTTTTCATTGCTGTTATTCTCAAGATAATGATCTTAACAAATTTCACAATCAAAAATATAGAAATAAGATTTAAAGATATATCTGTAATAGATGTGGGAATATATGCATGTTTTTCCTTTTTTGCTGACTCAGCATTTTCCTTAATTTTGGAATTATTCAATGCCTAATTACTCCAGTGATGGACCTCATACAGACATCCTGTGTATATAACATAAAAGCAGAGGATTTTGTCTTTTAGAATTTGAATTCAGAAGCGTATAATTTTTAAACATTCCTATCCGTTGCCTAGCAACAAAAATGGATGCTTTGATGAATAAAAAGAGAAAAAATGTAAAATGCTAAAGTCATAAAACACATACCTTGTTATCTTTGAATACTCAAAACAAATTTTACAATAAATTGAAATTTTTGAGACCTCTCTGCAAGCTATGGAATGTTTTACAATTTGTAATCTCCATGGTAACAGCAATTTCCCCCTAGCAACACTTCATAGAATAATAATTTTAGCATGTTCATGTACCTGTTGTTAAGGATTCTTCAAAGCATGCTGTAAAATTGTGATTAGGCAAATTTTACAATGTAATTAGCATCTTATAAAATTTAATTTTTCACTTGATTTTCCAATGGCAACGATTCTGAGCACATAGCAACCAATGTAACCTATGTAGAGTTAGGAGATTCTCTGTAGGAATTTCAACTGTTTTGATACTCAGAATCAAGATTACAGGACATTTTATGTAAAATCATTGCTGATACAAAATATACATAAATATATACATTTGTAATCAAGATTTAAAAATTCAAACTAAGAATGTTACCATGGTAACGGGTATAAACATTTTTGTTTATATCAGGCCAAAGACTCAAGTGAGCTTTTCTGATCGAAATTTGTCCATTGTCTGTCGTCGTTGTCGTCGTCACTGTCGTTGTAAACTTTTCACAATTCCATTTTCTTCTCCAGAACTCCTCGACCAATTTCAAACAAACTTGGCACAGAGTATCCTTGGATAAAGGGGATTCAAGTTTGTTCAAATGAAGGGTCATGCTCTCTTCCAAGGGAGATAATTACAAATTAGTGAAAAATTAATGGCATCTTTTAAAAATCTTCTTCTCAAGAACCACTGAGCCAGGAAAGATGAAACTCGTTTGGAATCATTCTCAGGCAGTGTAGATTCAATTTTGATAAAATCATGACCTCCAGGAGTAGGGTGGGGCTGCAATGGATGATCAAAGTTTTACAGAGGAATATATAGGAAAAATCTTTTAACATCTTCTCAAGAACAGCGAAGCCATAATTGGTCATATTTATATAGAAGCATCCTCAGGTGGTGTAGATTCAAGTTTGTTCAAATCATGACCCCCGGGGGTAGGGTGGGGCCACAATGGACGATCAAAGTTTTACATAGAAATATATATAGGAAAATCTTCTCAAGAACAGCAAAGCCATGATTGGTTATTAACTATTAGGAAGTATCCTAGGGTAGTGTAGATTCAAAATATTATAATGTATTAAAATATATATTTTAAAAGACGCAGCAAATATCATTCCAAGATTTCATATTTTGTATAGATTTACAAAAAAACTTTCTTGAAAACCCGTGCTTGTATATTTCTTTTTTTTTAATTTAGAAAGATAAATGAGCTCTGAATGAAAATGGAGAAATAAAACTAAAATGATATAAACAACAAGAGGTCCATGGGCCACATCGCTCACCTGAGCATCGGGCTAGGAAAAAAGCAAAAATCAGTTCAGTATTGAAAAGCTTTAATGCATAAGTGGTCCCAACCTACCCCTAAAAAAGAGGGGGGATATGATTTGAACAAAATTGAATCTACACTAACTAAAGATGCTTTCATATTTCTTTGACTAATTGTGACTTTTTTCACTAGGAGTTTGAACTTTCATTATAGTCCCACCCTATCCCCTGTTGTCATGATTTGAACAAATCTGAATCTACACTATTTGAGGATGCTTCCATATAAATATGACTAATCATAGCTTTGCTCTTCTTGAGAACAAGATTTTAAAAAAAAAAATGTCCTATGTATTCCTATGCATAACTTTAATCATCAATTGTGACCCCTACATATCCCCAGGGGATATTTATATATACCAGGGGGTCATGATTTTTATCAAATATGAATCTACACTACCTTAGGATACTTCCCAATAGTTAATAACCAATCATGGCTTTGCTGTTCTTGAGAAGATTTTTGCTATATATATTTCTATGTAAAACTTTGATCGTCCATTGTGGCCCCACCCTACCCCCGGGGGTCATGATTTGAACAAACTTGAATCTACACCACCTGAGGATGCTTCTATATAAATATGACCAATTATGGCTTCGCTGTTCTTGAGAAGATGTTAAAAGATTTTTCCTATATATTCCTCTGTAAAACTTTGATCATCCATTGCAGCCCCACCCTACTCCTGGGGGTCATGATTTTATCAAAATTGAATCTACACTGCCTGAGAATGATTCCAAACGAGTTTCATCTTTCCTGGCTCAGTGGTTCTTGAGAAGAAGATTTTTAAAAGATGCCATTAATTTTTCACTAATTTGTAATTATCTCCCCTTGGAAGAGAGCATGACCCTTCATTTGAACAAACTTGAATCCCCTTTATCCAAGGATACTCTGTGCCAAGTTTGTTTGAAATTGGTCGAGGAGTTCTGGAGAAGAAAATGGAATTGTGAAAAGTTTACAACGACAATGACGACGACAACGACGACAGACAATGGACAAATTTCGATCAGAAAAGCTCACTTGAGTCTTTGGCCTGATATAAACAAAAATGTTTATACCCGTTACCATGGTAACATTCTTAGTTTGAATTTTTAAATCTTGATTGCAAATGTATATATTTATGTATATTTTGAACCAGCAATGATTTTACATAAAAATGTCCTGTAATCTTGATTCTGAGTATCAAAACAGTTGAAATTCCTACAGAGAATCTCCTAACTCTACATAGGTTACATTGGTTGCTATGTGCTCAGAATCGTTGCCATTGGAAAATCAAGTGAAAAATTAAATTTTATAAGATGCTAATTACATTGTAAAATTTGCCTAATCACAATTTTACAGTATGCTTTGAAGAATCCTTAACAACAGGTACATGAACATGCTAAAATTATTATTCTATGAAGTGTTGCTAAGGGGAAATTGCTGTTACCATGGAGATTACAAATTGTAAAACATTCCATAGCTTGCAGAGAGGTCTCAAAAATTTCAATTTATTGTAAAATTTGTTTTGAGTATTCAAAGATAACAAGGTATGTGTTTTATGACTTTAGCATTTTACATTTTTTCTCTTTTTATTCATCAAAGCATCCATTTTTGTTGCTAGGCAACGGATAGGAATGTTTAAAAATTATACGCTTCTGAATTCAAATTCTAAAAGACAAAATCCT